CGGGGCCGGCGGCTGGCCACCCCCACCTCCCCGCTGGGAACGCCGGCCGAGCGGCAGGCAGGGAGCACGGCTCCAGCCCACGGGAGATGTGACACCATCCCTTATCTGTCCGGGGGGAGGGAGGGGGCAAATTGCATCCTCCAGGCTCAGGTGCAGCAGTGCCAGTAAAAGCTAATTTCGATGCAGAAGGTTCCCTTTACATTTGTCATTACTATTCATGCCACCATCAGGCTGCACACAGTGCGTTAACCCTTTGGAGGGGGACTGCAGCGGATATTTCGAGGAGGAATAATGCAGGTTTCCTCCTGGAGGAGCACTTCCCGTGGTGGTTCGGCCCTGGAGATGTTTGAGAGGGAGGTGGGGCTGCTTTTCTCCTGCCCAGCCACACTCAGCTCTGAGCTGGGCCAAGGGGCAGCATGCCAGGGATGATGGGGACAGGCCATCAGGAGACCCTCCAAGTGCTCTTGGTGGCAGGACCTGACATCACCCCCCACCCACATCCTTTGCCACAAGCAGCGATCCTCACACACAGCTCCAAGTTACCTGTCCCCCAGGGACGGGTCTGCTCCTGGCAGGTGGCATCACCAGCGTCCATGCCACAGAGGGTCCCCTGGGAACCCTGCCAGACCATCCCAGGGTCACCCCTTCCCTCCCCAGGCCCAGCACTGCTGCACCAGCTGATGCTCTCTCCTCCTCTGTACAGTTCTCCAAGGAGAAATACATCCTTGACTCATCACCCGAGAAGCTTCACAAGGAGCTGGAAGAGGAGCTGAAGCTGAGCAGCACTGACCTGCGCAGCCATGCCTGGTACCACGGCCGCATCCCCCGGGAGGTGAGGAGGGGAAGGTGGGAGGGTCCGGGCACCCTTTGCTTGGGGAGAGCACCCTGAGGCCACACAGAACCACCATCCTGTCCTCCTGTGAGGCCTCTGGCGAGGGCTTCGTTAGCCCTGAGCCGCCTGTTTTGGCCATGGGAAGTGCCCTCCTGCAGCTCAGAGCCCAGGGCAAGAGGAACGAACCAGTGCCCCAAACACCACCCCAGTGGAGCATCCACCCATGGGCCCCGGTCCATCCAGTGTGGCTGTGCCTGAGCTGCTGCCCTGTCCCTGCCAGGTGTCAGAGAGCCTGGTGCAGAGGAACGGCGACTTCCTCATCCGCGACTCCCTCACCAGCCTGGGTGACTACGTGCTGACATGTCGCTGGCGCAACGAGCCCCTCCACTTCAAGATCAACAAGGTGACAGTCAAGTCCAGCGACGGCCATACCCGCGTCCAGTACCTCTTCGAGCAGGAGAGCTTTGACCACGTGCCCGCCCTCGTCCGCTTCTACGTGGGCAATCGCAAGGCCATCTCCGAGCAGAGCGGAGCCATTGTCTACTGCCCCATCAACCGCACCTTCCCTCTGCGCTACCTGGAAGCCAGCTATGGGCTGGCCAACGGCAAGCATGGGGGACCCCACAGCCCCGCCACCCAGAAAGGGGGGCACATCAAGAGGAGGAGCATCACCATGACAGACGGCCTGACAGCTGACAAGATCACCAGGGCTGAGGGGTGCCCGACCAGGTGAGCGCGCGGTCTCATCTCGGCTCAGCCGGGCAGAGGACCTGCCCCTGGGAGAAAGGCAGGGCCACACTTGGTCACCCAGTCCAGGATTACCAGCGTGTTAGGGCTTGTCAGAGCCAGGGAGCCGAGCCTTCCCAGGCAGATGAAGGGGGAGAGCCAGTCCCAGCCACAAAAAGGGTATTTGTTAATTTAGCTTTGAAGGACCTTTTTAGATTTAGAGCCCTTTCTGTTCAGCTGGAGCATTTGCAAAGAGTTACCAGCTGAAGGCCTGATGGGCAGGAGGAGACCAATGGAGCTGTGCTGATGGGGGTCTGCACAGCCCCTAGATCACAGCCTGATCTGCTCACGTTAACTGTGGAGCAGCTGGCTTCTCTGGAGGTGGAGAAGGAGGTTTCCTTCGCACGGCTTGCTTTCAGCAGCCCTGGGCTGCGCAGAGCCTGGTGGGGAAGGCAGAGCCACACACACATCCTCACACACAGCAGCAAAGGGGGGACCCATCAATTCCTGCCACCCCAGCAGGACACAGCCTGCCGCTGAACCAAACCGCTTTCTCACCGCCCCAACCTTCTCAGCCCAAGGGCAGGGTGAGAACACGCCAGCAGAAAAGAGGCAACCGACTATTATGGCAGGGGAAAGGAAAATACTCAGACTTCCAGGAGAGCATATGTGTTTCCAGAAGAAGAGCCCAGATCCATCAGTCTTTCCTCACCACTCACATTTTCCCCAAACCCCTTATCACCGCCACTGCCTTCCCCTCCTCCTCCCACCCCAGGGGCATGGCACTGACAACCAAACACATCACAGCAGCCCAGCCCCCACCCGTGGCAGGGAAGGCAGTGAATTACCTGCCGTGCCTCCTTGCAGCCCTCCCTGTGCTCAGCCCCCCAAGCACAGCATCCTTTACACCACCATTGGCACACAGTGTGCCCAGGACCGCCTTGCTTGCTGTGCAGCTCCCTGAGCACACACGCTGCGGCTCAGCAACGCAGGCACCTCACTGCCGGGCTCCGGGTCCAGCTTCCAGGCACTTTCACCTCTCTCCTAAGCTTTGGGTCAGAGCAACAGCTCACCCAGCCGCCCCGACACAGCTCTCAAGTGGAAACAGAGTAACCCACCCAGCATCAGATACCACCTTGCAGCACAACCCTCAAAAACAACCCCTCAAAAACCACCCCCTCACACTTCTTTGCCAGAGCCACTTCCCCAGAGCACCCTGCAACCCTCCCTGAGCCCATCCCAGCCACAGTACCTTGGCATCAGGACACCCCTCTCTCCTGCTCCATACGATAAAGCTCCCCCAAGGCAGGGCTGTCTCTGCTTTATACAGGTGCTGACCCTTCTGCTCCCAGCTGCCTGCAGGGACTGCCCACTCATTGCTCCAGCTGAGCTCCTTACGGGTTCAGCTCCTGATGGGTAGTTGTGGAAGGAGGTGATGACCAGAGGGGAGGTGATGGGGCAGGGACCCCTCCCCCCAGCCCCTCTGCCCTTGCCCGGGCCCTGTTTGCAGGGACTAACCTGCCCCGTCTGCCCCCTCCGCAGCGTGTCCCTGCCCCACCACAGAGACATCATTCGCAACTGCGCCGTCAGCGTGGACCAGATCCAAGACCTGCACTCCCCGATGTCCCCCATCTCCGAGAACCCAGCGTCACCTGCCTACAGCACGGGTAGGCATTGCCCCTCCATCCCCCTGGGGACGGTGGGGACGTGGGTCAGGCTGGGCTTGGCAGGGACCTGGGGGGAGGATGGGGCTGGCTGTAAAGACAAGCCCCCACGCCGCTCCCTGCAAGTGAAACCCCATCCGGCTCTGCACAGCAAAGAGAACTGTCATGGCGGAGGGCTCGAGCTGAGGACGGGACCTCAGCTGCGTCGTCGTGCGGCTGTCCCGGGGCAGCAGGGCTTCCCCGAGCTCCGCGTCCCCGCGGTGCTGCACCCGTGGTCCCTATGCGTGTGCGCATCTCCAGGCTCTGATAACCGCGTCTCTCTGCTCCCTGCAGTTACACGGCTAAAGCCACATGCCTGCCAAGCGCCCGGGATTGCCCCGGCCTCTCCGGTCATAAGAAGGTCCAGCGAGCCCCAGCTGTGCCCGGGGAACAGCAGCAAACCTCTGCCAGACCCTGCCCACAGCACCCACTCGACTCCCTGCCACGGGTACGCCCGCGCCTCCCCCTCTCCCTCCGTGAACAGCTACAGCGACCCAGACACGGGGCATTACTGCCAGCTCCACCCCACCTCGCCCATCAGCAGAGACCGGCCAGCTCATGACATCAAGCAGCTGCCAACAAAGAGTTACGTGGAGAGGCTAAAGGTGGAGGAAGGACAGAGAGGGACTATGGAGAACAGCTCTGGGGAAGCAGAGGCAGGGCAGAGGCTGAAAGGAGAGCTGGACTTCATGGGCTTTGTGCCCCCCACCATGGAGACAACTTCCTCCTTCAACCCTGCGGCCTTCCAGTCCCTGCTGATCCCCCTGGAGAACAAACCCCTGGAGATGGCTGTGCTCAAGAAGGTCAAAGAGCTGCTGGCAGAGGTGGACGTGAAGACGCTGGCCAAACACATCACCAAAGTGGACTGCCTGGTACGGCCGGGGCCAGGCGGGAGGGATGGGCACTGCTGCGCTCCGATGCTCTGGGTTGGCAGGGGACCGGGGCACCCTTGAGAACTGGAGCATCCCTGGTGGGCTCTGCCACGTCGTATCAGCCGGGGCAGGCGGACGCTAGGCTGGGGCAAGAGGCTGCCTCTCAATTAACAAAGGCCTAATCAGCTCTCACCTTTCTTGCCAGGTTGCCCGGATATTGGGCGTGACGGCAG